GACAGCTGACTGAATCAGATGGGTGCAGTTGCAGCTATTGATTGGGGGGTATCTACGCTTTCTAGGTATGAACCGGGCTTTTATCTTATTGTATTCATTGTGTGACTAAAAACTGACTGAATGATTTTATGTAGGCTTTCACAAGTAGCCTATACTTCAGGAGGTCTATCATGGCGTAGGAGAAGAAAATACAGGAGATTTCTAAGTCCAACGCTAATTTGCGACACAGAGAGGCGGTGACCCAGAAGGCTGAGTGGGAAAGCCAACAATGAGTGAAGGAGATCGAGGCTGAACGGGAGCAACTGAAGAATGAGCTGGCTAAGAAGAACGCAGGGATTGAATCGCTGAGGGAACAGTGCCTCACCATTGCTAACAATGCCATTATCAAGGCTGGAAGAGAATTGATGCTGGATTACAAGGCTAGGAACACTGTCCATTGGAACCCGGATGAAGACATCCAGCTCTTGTGGGAGATAGATGAGGAGGAGGCTGTAGGTCGAGTAGATTACATGGAGGAGCTAGTCAATGATCAAATACTCAACCTCGCTAGTCAGTCAGGATGGTCGATAATAGATGATATTGGTGATCGTGCTGCGGGGACCACTGTCAGGGCAGGTGATAGGATGACCGAGTCAAAGATGGGTGAGACGACTTGTACTGATGATGTGAGGCATGATGCCTCTTAGACTTGTATTTATTCTTCACTTGTATTTTTGGGGCCTGAATTGCCTTTGTTCATGGCGTATGTGCCTTTTTGTACTTGATACTTAGCCATTTGAGGCTCTTTATATTTTAGCATGCGTTTTCATTTTATTGCTTTCTTCATGGATGGATGAATTGATTGTTAATAGATATATGGGTATTGGGCCCTCTTTCCTTTATAACGCCTTGTAGATGTAGCTTAAACCATTTTGGCTAAGCCAGTGTAATAAAGTTCTAAGTCGACTAATTGCGTTCGTGATGTAGTCAAAACCAAGTAGCTGAGTCGACGGTGCCCTTTGAAGATGATTTTACAGAATCGTGTCGGTATGAACTGACTAAAGGTGTAAGCCTTTGAATTGTTGAATCGGTCTGAGCCGACTGAAGGTGTAAGCCTATGAGTTGGTCTGAGTCGACTGAAGGTGTAAGCATGAATTACTGAGTCGGTTTGAGCCGATTGAAGGTGTAAGCCTATGAGTCGGTCCAAGCCAACTGAAGGTGTAAGCCAGTGTGAATTGCTAAGTCGGTTTGAGTCGACTGAAGGTGTAAGCCCGTATGGATTGCTGAGTCGATTTGAGCAGACTGAAGGTGTAAGCCCGTATGGATTGCTGAGTTAGTATGAGTCGACTAAAGGTGTAATTTTGCTGATTATAATTTATTGGTTCAAGCCATGAGGCTAATTGATGGTGAATTAGGCAGCAGCGTGGCCGAGTTGATGTAAAACTGAAGGTGACTACAACTATATCACTGAATAGTTCTTTTATTGAATCCAAGCCACGAGGTTGACTGAAGGTGAAAGAGGTGGATAAGCCCACTCATCCTTTTGAAAATAAAAAACAAAAATAGAATTACGCTGAGACAAATCTTACTAGAAGTAGTAGCATTTGAGGTGGATTGCATTTCAACTATTGCTGATGTCCTTGCCCTTGGGGGTTTGAAGTCTGTATGTGCCCTTTCCTTTTTGCTTGCCGAGCTTGCCAGAGTTGACCTCCTTAGTGTTTTGAAAGACTTTGTGGATGACTCAATCGCCTTCTTTGAAAGTTTTCACTCTGACATTACGGTTGTAGTGTCGAGTGGCCTGTTGCTGGTAGATGGCATTGCGGATGTTTGCTCACTTGCAGAGCTCATTGACTGCGTCTAAGTTGTGACAAAAGTTCTGGCTGTTGGCTTCTTCATCTGACCATTGTAGTCTAGTTGAGGAGACCAATATTTCAGCTAAGATGACTACCTCGGATCCATATGTGAGGGAGAAAGGGGTTTCGCTAGTGGACAAGTGTGCTGTTCTTCGATAAGACCAAATGACCCCTAGTAGTTCATCTACCCATGCGCCCTTAGCTTTCTGGAGGTGCTTATTTAAAGTCTGCATGATTGTTTTGTTAGATGATTCAACCTAGCCATTGGACTGGGGGTTTCTAGGGGTAGAGAAGCTGAGCTTGATCCCCCACATGTCACAGAAATCTCTGAAGTCTAAGTTGATGAACTGGGACCTGTTGTTAGTGACTATTTCCTTCGGTATTTTGAATCGGTAGATGACATGTTTCCAAATGAAGGTTTTTACCTCCCGCTCTCTAACTTGGGCGATTGCTTCAGCTTTTATTCACTTAGTAAAATATTCTGTGACCGCCAATATGTAGACTTGTTGCCTAGGTGCAATTGGGAGTTTTCCAACTATGTTCATCCCCCACTTCATGAATGGCCAAGGTGTGAGGATGGAGTTGAGTCGCTCGGGTGGGAAGTGTGAGGCGTGGGCAAACCTTTGACAACTATCACATTTTTTCACATCGGACGTTAAGTCGGTGCGCATAGTTGGCTAATTATAGCCGACGGTGATCACCTGGATGGCAAGGTTGTGTCCCCCTACGTGGTTCCCATATTTGCCTTCATGGAGTTTAGTGAGAACATACTTGGCTTCCTCTGGGCTTATAAATTGGCGGAAAGGGCCGAAAAATGACTTCTTAAGGAGTTGGCCCTCGTAGATGTGAATCTTGCAGCTTTAGCTCTCAGTCAGTGTGCTTCATTCTTGTCAGTTGGAAGCTTATCATGTTCCAAGTATCTGATTATGGGGGTCATCCATGAGTCGGTTGGTTCAACATCCATTACTTCTTTAGGCTCTTTCGGGTTAGGTGACTCACTCGTTTGATGTTCCTTCTAGTTAGCTAGCCATTGGAGGAACAATAGTGGGATGGATGACTGGGAGGAGCCTTGAAGTGTTGAGTCGAGGTTGGTAAGTGCATCATCATGGGTGTTCTCTGGTCTTGGGACTTGGGTGATAGAGAATTCTTCGAAGACAGACTGGAGTTCTTTGACCAAGTTCAAGTAAGTTGTCATCTTCGAGTCTCAGGCTTGGTAAGTCCCTTGCAGTTGGTTGACTACAAGTTGGGAATAAGACTTTATCTCCAACTTTCTTACTCCAATCTCCTTGGCCATAGAGAGTTTATCAATCAGAGCTTCGTATTCGGTTTTGTTGTTTATGCATTTGAACCCACACTGTATGGCTAGTTAGATGATGTCCTCTTCTAGTGTAATAAGTACGATGCCGAGCTTGCTTCCGTTTACATTGCTTGAGTCGTCTGCCGAGAGAGTCCACTTTGAAGATGTCTCGTTAGTCATGCACAACAACTCTTTTTTTACCTGGACGGAAATCTTAGGAGTGAAATCTGCAATGAAGTCTGCCAACACTTGGGATTTGATGACGGTGCGTGGTTGGAAGGATACATCAAACTCACTGAGCTCTATTGTCTATTGGGTGAGTTAGCCTGATAATTCTGACTTGTGAAGTATCTTCTTGAGCGGGAATGAGGTGAGGATGACTATAGAGTGGCACTGAAAATATGGTTTGAGCTTATTGGATGCATGACGAGGGCAAGTGCTAATTTCTCCAACCGGCTGCATCGTGTCTCGGCATCAAGGAATGATTTACTCACATAGCACACTGGTAGCTACTTCGCATTGTTTTCTCACTGTTGAGATGGTTGTTTCTGAGACTGCTAGGTAGGTGTAAAACTTCTCCCCAACCACAGGCTTAGAAATGAGTGGGGGAGTTGTTAGGTACTTTTTCAACTGTTGTAAGACTTCTTCGCAAAGAGGGGCCGAGGGGGGGGGGGGGGGGGGGGGGGGGGGGGGGGGGGTGGTCCACTCAAATTTCTTGGATTTCTTGAGTGCGGCGAAGAATAGGTGGCACTTGTCTACAGATTGGGAGATGAAACGGCTTAATGCAGCCATTTGCCCTACAAGGCATTGGACATCTTTGATGCAAGTCAGTGATTGTATGTTCAGGACCGCCCGGATCTTGTCGGGGATGGCTTTTATCCCCCGCTGAGTCACCATGTATCCCAAGAATTTTGCCAGACGAGACCCCGAACGAACACTTGGCTGGGTTGAGCTTCATGTTGTATTTCCTGAGGATAACGAATGCCTAGCTAAAGTGGTCGAGGTGTTGCTTCACCATGAGAGACTTGACTAGTATGTTGTCGATGTACACTTCCATGGTGTCTCTTAGGTGTTCAGCAAATATTTTGTTGACTAGCCACTGGTAATTAGCCCCGGTATTCTTAAGGCCAAAAGTCATTATTTTGTAACAATAGGTTATTCTCTTTGTGATAAATGTTGTCTTTTCCTGGTCGTCCATGTGCATCAAAATCTGGTTTTAGCTTGAGAAGGCATCCATAAAACTTAGGAGTTTATGATCTTTTGTCGCGTCTACTATCATGTCGATATTAGGGAGTTTGAAGGAATCCTTGGGACATGCCTTATTCAGATCTGTGAAGTCTATGCAGACCCTCCACTTTCCGTTCTTTTTCTTCATAACCACCATGTTGGCTAGTCAGTTGGGATAATGGACTTCTCTAATCAATCCATTACTCAACATCTTGCCAACTTCCTCATTAATGACCCGATTGTGTTCTGGAGCAAACTTTCTTCATTTCTGCTTCATTGGAGGGTGATTAGGATCTACATGAAGGTGGTGGACGATAGCCTAAGGGCTGATACCCGTCATGTTTGCATGGGACTAGGCGAAGCAGTCTTGATACTACTAGAGAAAGTCTATAAGTTACTTTCTTTTCTCAAGCCTAAGAGGAGAGCCTATTTGGGTCTTTCGGTTCGGAGTGGTCCAGGTGTATCTGTACTTCATCCAACTCTTACATGGATAGTTGATCTAGCTCGGTCAGGAAGGTTGGATGGTTCTGTAATTGCTATGAAGTGTGACTTTTGCCTTTGAAGGCGTTCTTACAGCAGTCTCTCAAAGCCTTAAGATCGCCTTTTATTTCTCTTACTCTCCACTTTGTTGGAAACCTGATGGTTTAATAGAAGGTGGACAGGACAGCTCGCATGTCATGGATCCAAGGTCGACCCAAGATGACATTGTAGGGAGAGGCACAATGAAGTACCAGGAAGATAGTTTGTTTGTTGATTCCACTGACATAGACAGGCAAGGCGATTTCTCCAATAATGTACTTCTGCTTAAAATTAAACCCGACCAGGATGGTTGGGCATTTGTTGATGTTTGACTCATCCAGTCCCATGGCTTTCACTGCTTCAAGAAAGAGGATGTTTGTTGAGGATCCCTCATCTACGAACACTTTCTTGACAAGGATGTTGGCGATTTGGAGGGAGATGACCAGAGCATCATGATGAGGGGCGGCTAAAGTGGCTGGCTCATCATCTTCAAACTGGATGATCTGGTTGGTATATGCCCGAGGAGATGGATGGATTGACTTGACTTCTAGGTGTTGGTTGGCTCGGGCGTGCCGCTTGGTTGAGGAGTAACTTATCCCACTGATTTTTGACCCTCTAGAGATAATGGAGCAGAACCCCTTCGGTGTCAGTTCTTGAGGAGGGGGAGATGTTTCTTTCGAGCTTCTCTGGCTAATTGTATTCTTCCCTTTATCTATCAACAGGTTCCAGAGATGTCTCCTCTTTAATAGTGCCGCCACTTCCAATCTCAGGGTAATGCAATTGACGGTGTTATGACCATGGTCATCGTGAAATTCATACCACTTGGTTGTGTCCCTCTTCGCGTCAGGATTGCACTTGGCTGGGCACTTCACGATGGGTCCCATCTTTTTCATGATCGCCACGACCTGAGCTGGTTCAACGTTGACGTTGTACTATGGAATCTTGAAGTGCAGATAATCATATTGTTATTATTTTGTATCAATTTAATTATTGTTTACATACATAAACATATTTTTCTATTTGAATAAAATATAAGAAAATTATCATAGGTGAACGTCCAAATATTTTGAAAGTTTAAACTTCAGTTTATCGAAATTCGGTTTACCTGCCAGATTAATGTTAGAAGACCAAATTAAATTTTTTTATAACATCTAATACCAGAAAGTAAACATGAGTTGGAGAAATTAATATGATCTACATTTTTAAATAATGAGAACATTAATATATACACGAGGGTTGGCAAGAATCAAAATGATGAAGAATATGGTTTCAAAATGTGCCAATATGCCATTTAAAGTCAAATTAATTTTGAAAATCGTCACCAAAATAAATAGATTGGTTATGTATACGATTGAAGTGGATATATTTATTGGTGATCACGAAGTGCAAATTGAATGAAGAATAACAAACCAATGCAACATTAAACTTGAAATTCATAAACGGAATGAAGGACTGAAGGTAGATGATTGACCTAACTTTATAAATAATCAACTTATGAAAATAATTTTTTTTTTTTTTTTTTTAATTTTTTCAATTGCTTTTACTTTTGAACAATGACATGTGACAAATGTAAAATGACACAAATGGACTTCTCTTTTAATTAAGTGTTTTTTATTTTTTTAAATATGTTACAATTATTTAACAAAATTTTAAAAATTAAAAACACTTTACATCGCAGAGTTGCTAGATGACAGCAATCGGCAGTGGTCAAACGTCATCGAAGGTGCGCACGACAACACCTCAAGCTCCATTGGGTAGATCACCAGCCGATCTACCCAGTAGAGTGATCAAAGAGGCCGTTGGTTACGGCGTTTCGCTGTAGCAGGCCAAAAAGTGTCGACCGAATGTTTTCTGGCCTTCTTTTGTAATTATTTATAAAGAAAAAAAAGAGAATTAAAATTTTGGGTTTTTTTTTTTTTAATTAACCATATTAAAAGCAGCTTTTGAATTCTAAAAGCTATAAAAACTTACTTTTGGATTCTTTTTATACAACATATTATTTTATATTCAGCTTATTGTATAATCACTTTTCAAATTAGTTTATCCAACCCTTTTTGGATTATAGATTATGAAATAAGTGATTATTGGAGAAGCAACAACAATCTCAAACTGTTAGGATCCTACATTGAGATCTTACACCCACCAAGTGTGGTACTTAAACCTAAGGGCTCTTCCACCTATTAGGCCAGTGTTTTGGGTTGAGCTCTCCCTTGGGCTTGAGTTTTACTATTGGTGCTTTTCGTTGAGAGTTGGGCTACGGTAAGGGCTACCTTTGGGTCAATGTCGATAGAGTGAAAGCCGTTATGGATGTCAACTCTTGAAGGGGATTGCAATGTTAGGATTCCACATCGAGATCTCACACCCACCAAGTATGGTACTTAAACCTAAGCGCTCTTCCACCTATCAGGCCGGTCTTTTGGGTTGGGCTCTCCCTTAGGCTTGAATTCTATCACAAACTCACTGCAGAGTTAAAGTAATGAATTTATTTTATCTTCTAAACTTGGAACGAGAACTTTGAATTTTGAGGGTCATGAATGAGGATTTATTAGTATGAGTATTAATGGATGATATGCTAACACAACAAATCATAAATATTGACAGACCAAAATTGAATGGTGAATTAAATATAGGGAGACCAACAAAAAATGTTTATGATTCCCTCATCGGTGATGAGAGCATGACATCCTTAATGTTGAGAACTCAGAACCATAATGCAACAGCCTTTCAACTGAGAGATATAAATGAGAAAAATTTAATTTTCACTATCTTAAGGCTGAATTACCTTTTCACCTCTTATCTATTGCAAAAGGAACTTTTGTAATTTCAGAAACTATCAACAGCATCCCCATTTTATTAAATTCAAATGTTAACTTTAACAATGCAATAAATTTTTTTTTTAAAAAAAATTGCAGTAGGCCAGGGCGACTTGAAAATTGGGGTGGAGTTGATTACAATTTTCATCTTGAGGTATCACTAAATAATTTCCGTTTTTACATAGAAAATAATAATTTTTTTTGTCCTACTGTTAGGGTTTTACTATTAATTTAATAGATTAAGAGAAAATATGTTAATTGAATGATAAAATTTAGCAAAATAGTGATATTGCCAGGTAAATTATTATTTCAGACACCTAAAAGGAGAATTAAATTAACTGAATTCGGTGGTGAATTCTGAAGGTCCTACGGGCCGAAGCATTTGCAATAGCATAATGGGTTAAGACAATATGCCAAAGGCCCAAAAGGGGAAAAAGAGTTACATGTGAAAAAGGAGTGGTGTTATTAATCCCCTTAATCTCTTTCTAAGCTTATGATAAGAGTTCTTTTTTTTTTTTTTTTTTTTTGAATTATATATATTTTAAACTTGTAATTATCAAAAAAGGGCCTCATTCATTTTAGTACTACCAAATATTAGAAAACTCTATGTTTCTTAAAACACTAAATTCCCTTTTTTTTTTTTAAAGTTAGAATCATGATTTTAAGATTAAAAGTATTTTGAAGTGACAAACATGACTTCAATCAATGGAAAATAATAATCATGAAAAAGTAATCATTAATTTTTTTTTTTCAATTTTTTTTATCCACTATCTTAGATTTCTTGGTGAGAAGAAAAAATCATGAAAAAGCTTGATGCCACACAAAGCTCCCATTGCCCTCTTCCAGTAACAAAGTTTCTTTGCTTGACAACTTTGAATTTGAATCCCCTCTTTCTATGGTTTGGTGATTTGCTTGACAACTTTGAATTTGAATCCTCTACTTTTGTAGTTTGGTTGTTTGCTTGACAATTTTGAATCTGAATTCACTACTTATGCCCAATCTACAGCTTCTATTAGCCAAAGAAACAACTAACATAATGGAGAAGTATTTGAAAAAAAAAAAAATATATATTGTGAGTACATTTTAAAGAAGATATATGATATTGTTGAATGAATTATGAATGCATTGAGATCTAACTTGAGATATTAATGGGAATTTCACTCTAGAGAAAAAATAGGTAATGGGGTTAACAAAGAAATGTAGGAAGAAAAATATTAGAGAAAGGTAACATTAGAACAAAATATAATAATTTGTAAATTACATTTTAAAAACAATTTTAATTATTATTAGGCTTTAAAAGGGGATTAAATGGGTTTAAATAACACTACTCATGAAGAAGGGATAAGACTAGTAACCCATTGCTGGGAAAATGGATAAAAAGGAGGACCATTTCTTAGAAAAGTGGCCAAGTTGTTCCTAAGATTAAGGAAAAAGTAATATTGAACTAATGAGACTAAAAGAGGCCTATAAATGCACTGGAGAAACGAAAGAGTAATACTATACTTACAACTGAGTTATATAAATAAACAAAAAATAAAGGATAAAATATTCATTTTACATCGATTTTTTGTAATTTTTATCTGTTTGTATGACTCAGTTGTAAGTAAAATATTATTTGGAACGAAAAGGGAGCATTCAAAGCAATAGTGCCTAGAAATTTTGGTTAAAGAGGCATCTTAGGGATTTTAATATTTCATTTTTTTTTGGTGGTAAACTTCAACGTATGAAAAAATTTATAAAGAATTAAAAAAAAGAAAAAAGAAAAAAAGAAGAGATTACCATAGACAAAGAGCCTAATAAACCTTACACATCATAAAAATTTCTAGTAAAATAAAAATAAATGCTAATATAAAATGTTAACAATTGATAATTTATTTATTTATTATATCAGGAACTGTTCTTGATGAATATTTATATTTTGAAAACGTTGCCTAATCACCTCATTGGTAATGTTATCACTTAAAAAAAAAAAAAAAAAAAAAAAAATTGATGTTTACTGTAAATTTTCCTATTTGTATTATTCTTGTAAGAATTGAGGTTTTAATTAATTAAAGTTTATTGATTAATATAAAGAGAACAAATAAATAATCAATGATAACAATAAGTTAACAAAAATATATATAAACTTAAAATAAAAATTTAACTTACATGTAGAAAAATGAAATTATGTTTAATTAATACTTGAAGGGACTGTTTAGATTGAGGGCAAATAAGATAATGAGAGTAAAATTCATTTATTTTGCAAGATTCATATGTTTGGTTTGCAAGTAATGAAATATTACGGCAATATTTTACTGCAAATACTAGTTACTGTTGGTAATATGGGGGGTAATCTTATTATCTTGCTAGGGGTTGTTATTAAAACATTATCGGGGTAATATGATTTTTCTTCCCATTTTGCCCTTAATTAAAAACTATTTCGGACACAATTGCCCTCAAATGTTTACCAAATAACAATTACCCAACCCCCCTATATTTGAGAAATTAGCTAAAATACCCTAGCCACAAAAAAGTTTAAAAGTTAACAAAATACCCCCAACCATCCAAGACCACCGCCGACCGTGACTCACCACCATCGGCCATAGGTGTCTGTCGCCGTAATGGTGCACGATTGACAGGATTTGGTCGATCGTGCACCTATAAGGCTTTTTTCGGCCATGGATCATAGATCCATGGCTGGAAACGGCTAGATCTGACATTTCTATGGCCGTTTCATGGCCAAAGATGTGGCCGTGAAATAACCACAGATCTGGCCGTGAAAGGGCCAGATCTTTGGCTGTGACATTTCACGGCCAAAGATTTGGCTTTTTCACTGCTAGATCTGTGGCTGTTTCATAGTCACATCTTTGGCTGTGAAATGGCCATAGATCTGGTCGTGAAAAGGCCATGGATTTGTGATCCATGGCCATTTTCGGCTTTGCCAGCACACGACAGGCCATATATGGCCAGTCGTGCACCATTCCGTAGACTGCCAGCAGCGGGCAGCAGTGGTGGCTAGCTATCGACAGCAGCTTGGGGTGGGTGAAGGTGATTTTGCTACAAATTAAAGTTTTATATGGTTGGGGTGTTTT